GCAACCTTCCCAAGTCAAATCTGCCCCGCTCCCTGCTCCGTCACATCAGCTGAGCTGGCTTTCAGCAGTGATGAAAAGTCATGGGGCAGCAGAGTCCTGTGCGGGCCCAGGAGGGTAGAGGGCGGCCTCTGGGTGCCAGGTATGGGACCCGCAGGGCACAGGAGATCTAGGGGGCCTTTGGGAGAGGGGGAGAGACCGTATGTACCATTGCACAGGCTCCTGGGGCGTCCAGCCAGGCCTGTCCGAGCCACCGCAGGGCTGCTTGGCTCTGTGCCCGAGGCTGGCGCTGGCTAAGAGCCCCGGCAGCCTGGCCCGGTTGTGTTCGCGCCATCAGGGGATCCAGGAAGTGAGCGGAGTCCCAGCGAGACCGAAATAACCGTCTAACAATAGGCTTGGGCTGGCGGCTTGCAGGGAAACCTGATGCACTGGGGCTGGGGTGGAATCCAGGGGGCTGGGGACTCAACATGCCCAGGGCCCACCTGTCTGCGGGTGGCCGCTGTCTTCTGGCCAAAGGACTCGGCACAAGATTCTTCTGAGCTTCCAGCTCCCAGAGGTCTGGGCAGCTGCTTCGCCTGGCCAGGGGCCTGCGCCCCACGAGGCCCTGGGCTGAGGGGTCCAGGGGGCTCTGCTTTGAAAGAGGCAGGCCCCAGAGCCGCTTCTCCAGTGGGCTGACCTTGCCGTGGCCTTGCTGAGGGGAGGCTGGCTCCCGGAGGGCGTGCCATGAGGGGCTCTGTCCCTACAGTGCAATGCCTCTGCTTGCCCCATAGCCTTCTCCTGCAGCAGGGTTGGACTCCTAGTGCTGTCTGTCTGTCTGTCCCTCCAGGTGTCTGGGCCCAGTTGCTGTCCTGGCTGAGCCCCTGGTGCGGGGACCTGCAGTGCCGCAGCTGAGTCCGAAGATGGACGTGTTTGGGGGGGCCCCCCGGTTCCTTGCCTACCCCCGCACTTTCACAGTGCAGAGTGGTGCTGATGCCGTCCTGAAGTGCCAGATCGCGGGCGACCCACGCCCCAGCATCATCTGGGAGAAGGACAAATCCCCGATCGCGCTGCTGGGCCGCTTCCAGGTGGAGGCCGAGGGGACCGTGTACAGCCTGTCGATTTCCCAGGTGACCCCAGCGGACAGCGGGCAGTATGTCTGCAAGGCCAAGAACGCCATCGGGGAGACGTACGCTGCTGCCACACTCAAGGTGGAGGCGAGGGAGCTGCAGCAGGAGGGACACCCTGAGGATGTGCCCCCCGTTTTTCTGAGCAAGCCTCTGTCCTGGCAGGTCTGCAGGGGGGAGGATGTGATGTTCACCTGCAGGGTCTCGGGGCAGCCTAGCCCTGTGCTGCAGTGGGAGAAGGATGGGCGCCAGCTGTCGGATCTCTTTGAGAGCAGCCATTTCTCGGTGGGGAAGGAGCCGGAAGACTGGCATTTCCTGAAGATCTTCGGCGCCCGGCCCCCGGACGGAGGGGTCTATGTGTGCAGGGCGCGGAACCGCTCAGGGGAGGCCCTGGCAGCAGCTGTGCTCCTGGTCGACCCCATGGCTCGTGGGCTGCCAGACGGCCCCTTCCTGGGCTCCCCCGGGAACTGCTGGACCCTGAGCCATTTCAGTAAGCAGCCGGATCAGCACGGTGACAGGAGGCACTGCCACGGGCAGCGCTCCGTGCCCTGGCCGGCCCGGCCCAATGGCGAGGTGGCTCCCGGCGCACCCAAAGCCAAGGCGTTCGCTGTGAGCGAGGGGAAGCACGCCAAGTTCCGCTGCTACGTGACGGGCAAGCCGAAGCCCGAGATTGTGTGGAAGAAGGACGGGAAGGTCGTTGCGCCAGACAGGAGGCACCTGGTCTATGAGGATAGGGAAGGCTACTTCATCCTGAAAGTGCTGTACTGCAAGGCCCGGGACCAGGGGCTGTACATCTGCACCGCCTCCAACACGGCTGGCCAGACCCTCAGTGCCGTGCAGCTCCATGTGAGAGGTAGGGCCCTGGGGGGGTGCAGAGACACAGGGGCCTTGCCCACAGCGGGCGAGGGGCGGGGTCAGAGCAGGCTGCTGCTGGTCAATGGCTTTAGTCCAGGTGTATGGAGGGGCAAACCTGACCCGCTCGCACTGGTTCCCTGGTGGGCTGGGGTTACCCGGGGGGGCTGGATCAGGAGGAATCGGAAACGGGATCCTGATTTGCCAGTGGGACAATTTGCAGAGAAGCCAGGGCTCTGGGGCTGTAGGGTGGGCCGCGGTGGTCTGGAGGAGGTGGTGGTGGTAATGGTGGGATCAGGATCGTGGCCACGGCCCCAGCATGGGGACTGGCTCTGGGAGGCCCCGTCAGTGGGCCAGGCCCCCGAGGGGTCTCACACCTCCTCCAGTGGAAGCCACGTGGCTTCACCGTCTCCTGGGGCTGGCCCCATGGGCCTGCAGTCCCCCTGCCCCCCACCATGAGCTCCAGGCAGCAAATCCCCCTGAGACAGACCCCGATGGAGACTTGTACCATCTTGGGGGGCAGCACCAAGCATCTGCAGGGACACATAGGCAGCGCGGGCCGACAGCTGGGTTATTAGTCACCTGGACCCAGCACAGGGAGCCCTTGGGGAGCCCAAAGCCCAAAGCCTCGTCCCTCTGATCTTGTCCCAGGCCAGGTGCACTGATTGCTGCCTGCAGCCCACACTTAACTCTCCCCTCCCCCTTCCCCCAGCCCTTTGATCCCGAGCTGGGGGATGCTGGGAGAGGCGGGGAGTCCAGATCTCTCTGGGTCGCTGGTTGCTGGGGTCCATGTCTGGACAGTCGGATTTGCCATTGTCTTCTCAGAGCTCCACTGATATGGGACCTAAGGGCCCAGACAGCTGGGAGCCCGTCACACCTGTGTTAGCCGGCCCAGAGAGCGACAGGTCTTTCTATCCCCGAGGTCACTGCAGCACATAGGAGAAACTGAGGCATGCATAGGCTTCATGAAAATATTACAGCCAATTCCCGCTTCATTGCAGTGGCATTTCTGGTTAGGACATTGCAAGGCAGAAGGGTGGGCTTGGGGACGCAGAAGGCTGTTCGGTGGGTTGCGGGAGGTCTCCGGTTCCAGCATCAAAGGGCACGGGAAGGGGAGGCTCTCGCACCAGTCACCAGCCCTAGGACATAGGCGGGGATGCCACGATGACCTAGGACTGCTCTGGCCAGCCAGGATCAGGGCCTGTCTCTCTGGCTGTCCTGCCTTCACCCCGGCTTGTGCTGCTGCTGTCTGGGCTCGGAGGCTCAAGCGAGAAGAGAGACAGGGGAGCAGGACAGACGGGTCCTGGTGTCACGGACTCACAGGACTCGTGCTCTCTCTTGGCTCCATAGGGTCCGGAGTGACTCTCAGCCGGCATAAAACAGGAGGTTTATTGAGCGTCTGAACCCAGCACAGGAAACTCTCCGGGCCCTTGGGCCTAGCAACCCTCAGCCCAGTACATCTAGGTCTCTCCAGCCTCCGGGGGGGCTCTGGCTCCTCTCTCCCCAGTCCAGCCGCCCCCTCCTTCCAGCCAATCATCGGAAATCATCTCCCCCTACGGCTCCTCCCCTGTCCATTGTCTGCAGTCCCAGGTAAATAGGTCACCTGGGCCTCCTCTCTTCCCTCCTTTGTTCCCACCCCTGGCTGGAACCGGCTGGTCAGGTCACCAGGATCCTCTCTCCCCAGCCCATTGTCCTCCCACTGGCCAGAACCGGCTGGCTGCCAAGCTGGGCTGGGCCACCCAGTCACCAGTCGTCGGGTCCCCCATCTCCAGGCAGTTATCCAGGGTCCGGGCTGCTAGGTGAGGTCACACCTGGTCCTCTGCAACAACCCCGCCCACCACCCCCTCGTTACACATGCAGGACACAGGGAAACTGAGACACAAACAGGGTTCATGCAAAACACTAAGAACATCCCCCCCTTCATCACACCTGGCCATGTATCCCTTCTGGCACTGAGCCAGGTTGGGTGGGAGGGGGGTGATGTGTTTGGGGGCGGGGGGGGGGCTGTGAGCTGTTAGTGACAATCTCCCATGGAAGTGCTGAGTGGGTTTGGCCCTGAGCCGGTGGGGCTGGGAGCCAAGCGTCTGTGCTGGAAGCGTTTCCCTCCCTCTCTGCCCAGCATGTGCTGAGCCCCCAGGCAGGCAGCCGGGAACAGGGAGCGCTCACTCCTCAGCGGGCCCCAAGGGAGGGCGCTCGAGGCTGCGAGGGGGAGACTGTGGGAGGCAGATGCAGCACCCAAGGGGAACCCACTGAGCTCCCCTGAATGTCGGCCCTCGGTGAAGCCTGGGGGCAGTTGTGCTTGTGAAGGCCAAGGAGGCAAAGCTTGGGGGGGGGGGACTTAGTGCCTCTGGGGCGTGAGAGTGTGTGATCGGCGGGGGCTGGCTGCGAACCTCTGGTCTCGTGCCCCCGGCCTTGCTGGGCTCCGTGGACCCGGTCCAGGATTGGGTTCGGGCAGGACAGGGGAGTGGGAGGCGAAGTCGGCATTAAACACCATGTTCCCATGCCATGCGGCCCTGGATGGCACAGGGCTGACCTTCGGGAGACATTGGCTCCTCCCGCGGAATCCCCCCGTCGCCGCTTCCCCTTCATTACGGCTCCCAAATCCCATGAGTCATTAATTGAATTGCAGTGACCTTTACTGCCCAGCTAACAGTCACGCCTTCCAGTCCGCCCAGCGGGTGGGCCCCAGCCAGCCCTGGCTCCCTCCTGGGCACAGGCTGCATCTGCTCCCACCCCACGTCTTTCAGCTCTTAAGGGTGCGGCAGCGACACGCGCTCTGCCACAGCCCCAGATGCCACCTCCCTCACCCCACCCATTTGTCTAGGGGCTGGCGACACGTAAAACGTGACAGGAGAGGTTCTCCTGTTGACAGCGACCTAGCGCTGTCTACACCAGGGCTGAGGTCGGTAGAACTGTGTTGATCAGTGGTGTGGATTTTTAGCCCCCTGAGCGATGATTTCTACCGACCTCATTTCCCAGTGTAGACCCGGCCGTATGCTCCCGTTACATGTGTGTTGCTGGAGCAGCTGGGTTCCCAGTGGGGCTCAGGGCCCCGTTGTGCTGGGTGACAAGGCAGCCACCATGAAGGCACTGGCAGGATGGGCTGGTTTGGGCCTCCCTTGAACTATGCCTGGATGGTTTGTATTTCTTAGCATTATCGGGTTCGAAGGGATTGCAAGGGTCAGGTACGCTGCCCCCCGCCGCGATGCAGGATTTGCTGGGTCTAACCCAGCCCAGGCAGACGGCTACCCAGCCTCCATGGAAGGAGCTTCCCCGTGCCTCTGGCACAGTGTCTGTCGCTCTGCACTGGGGCTTGGAAAGTGTAATGCTAATCAAGCCCCACAGACACCCTGGCCTGGCCGGTGGTGCGCAGGGGCCTGCCCGGGGGGCCCAGCCCTTTGGAGGCTGAGAGGGGCCCAGGGAGTTTGGAGCAGCGGTGTCTCTGCAGGGGGGCTGGTGACAGCATGAAGAGCTGACAGCAGGGGGCTGAGCGCTGAACATACCAAGTGCCACCCACTGTGTCGCCTACCACCTCTCAAAATAACCCGCTGGGAATGGAGAGCTTTCGGCTGCCCCCTCCCTGGAACAGACGGCTCTGGGCAGGGGCTGGGCCAGGCTGACTCCTCAGCGGGGCGCCCAGGGGACTGGGCAGGCTGGGTGCATTATGGGGGTTTTGCTTTCCTCTGAAGCAGCTGCTGTGGGGCCTGGGCTTGCTGTGGTGGTGGCTCCGGCCAGGCTGGGCCCCGCGTGCTCTCTGCAGTTCCTGTCTCTCTCTTGCTCGGCACCAGAGCACCGGGTGCGGTTCCAGTTGCAGCTGGAGGATGTGGAGGTGCAGGAGTGTGAGGACGCCGTGCTGGAGTGCAAGGTGCCCCAGGAGACCATCCCCACGGCCTGGTACCTGGAGGACAAGCAGCTGCAGCCAAGCCACAAGTACGTGATTGAGGAGCAGGGCCTGGTGCGACGCCTGACCATCCGGGACGCCCGCGCTGACGACGACGGCATCTACCTGTGCGAGATGAAGGACAAAGGGCGCAGCATTGCTGAGGTCTCAGTCAGAGGTGAGAGGGATGGGCCCGGGGTGCATGGAGCCTGAGTAGATGGGCATGGAGACCGTCTTCCCTGTGCCGCTTACTGCTGCAGCCCCCTGTCCCTGTCCAGTCCTGCCTTTCCCCTGCCCTGTCCCTGCCCCAACCAGCCAACGCCTGCCCCAGCTGCCCAACCTGCCCCATAGTGCTCTGCCCCGGCTCCCAGCCTGTCCATTCCTGCCCCCCTCTCTTCTCCTCAAGCCAGCCCCATTCCCCACACCCCCTTTTCTTGCTGCTGAATTTCCTGCTCCTGCACCATCGGGCCCCAGGCTCCCCATGTCCCTCCCAGCACCGCAGCCCCAGGGTCCCGAGCTGCCCGCTCGCATGTAACTCTGGGCCGTTCCTGGACACTCTCCCAGGGGCAATCGTGAAGCGGCTCCCGCGGAAGCTGGACGTCATGGAGGGGGAGAATGCTGCCTTCTGTGTGGAGACCCGGGATGCCGTGGAGGGAATCCGCTGGAGCCGGAACGGGCTGGAGCTGCGGGAGACACCATGCACTGTGCTGAAGAGCTTCGGCAAAACCCACCTGCTGGTCCTGGTGCATGTGACGCGGGAGGACGCTGGGGTCATCTCCTTCAGCGTGGGGGAGTCGCAGACGTCAGCCCAGCTTCGCATCAAATGTGAGAGCCCCACCATGGGGGTGGGAGTGCACTGGAGCATGGAGCCCATCGGTCTGTGGGTCGGGGTCCCTCTGCTCTAGGGCTGGATTGGAGCCAGTGTCCCCTAGAGGGGAAAGGCCCAGTACCCCATTAGGGACCTCGGGGCGTTTCGCCTTCCTCTGCAGCTTGGGCTGTGGCTCACCTGCTGGGATCATCTGGGCACCTCTCCCTAATCTGTTCCCTGCCACTGTGGGGCTTGGGCTGCTGGTGGCCTCTCGGTCTTTCCTGTTTGCTGCCTGTGGCCACAGCTCAGTTTCCTGAGGGCCAAAATGCTTGAGTCTAACTCAAATCTTTGGGTTTAATATAGGGGTATCTGGGTAAAAATGAAGGGCCTGTGATAGGTGATCTGGTCCTTCTGGCCTTAGACCCAATGACATCTGTGAAACTAGCGTGATGCTCCCAGCGGTGATGCACAAGCGTGAACAACAACCTCAGGGCAGACAGGTACAAACCAGGACACAAACCCCTGTTGGTTGTGAGCTCTAAACTTGGATTTCACCAACCTCCTGCAGCTAGTGCAAACTCCTCAGGCACTTTACCAGCCTTAACACGGAGTCATAGGCAGTCCCCTTGGTGCACCGGTCTGTCTCGTCACCAGGTGAGCCTAGGTCTGCGACAGGCAGCCTCATACACCAAGGATCACAGCAATATTCAACACAGCAAGGATCCCAGTCCCAAAGGACCAGTCACTTACCCCAGGTCACTTGTGCTTTAGGGCTCACACTGAAGACAATGCGTGTAGCCAGTCCTATAGTAGCCATCTGAGGGTTTATTAAGAAGGAAAAGGAAATGAGAGTTATTTACAAGACTAAACGGAGTGAACACACAGACACACAAATGACTTACAGTCTTAGGTTTCAAAAGGTGACGTAGGTTTCTATAATCAGCCAGCTCTGCGTGTCCTTTGGGGCTAACCCAGGCTAAGCAGCTGGGGATCTCCTGCTTATGCTTAGAAATACCTTGATCCCCAGAGTCCAAGCAGCACAGAGATACCTTGCTCCCTTGGTTTGGGGTCCCCCCCGCCAGCTGCGGACTCACCTGATGGGAGACATCCACTCGCACCACTCATCGTCACAGGGAGCAGAGCAGCATTTTGCTGACGGTTTCTCACTCCAGATGTAGGGAGTTTCCAGTTGCAAGAGCCACCCCTAACCTGTCTGGTACTGCCAGTCTCCTCTTTCGGGAGAGACATAATTTCTGTAGAAGAGGAGCTCGCTCACTAATGTCTCTCTCCTGCATGGTGATTCACACAGTCCCAGAGGCTCACAATACACCCGCTCCAATAATGCATTGCAATTTGGAATACAGACAGCGCAGGGGAGATTAACGCAGGCAGCAGCTCACAAGCCTTCACTAGTGCAAACACTTCCTTGTAATGCTGATCCCTGTTCTACCACTATTACCCCACAAGTGAGCCAGACAGATCCCAGCTCTGTATATCTCAGTGTCCAACTGAGAGATGGAGACCTTGGCATGAGCTGGCACCTGGCCTGACAGCGTCACACCTCTGCCCAACAGCCAGATTGGAGCTGGTGCTCCCTAGTGCAGCATGGCCCCGTGTCACCGTTCTGAGTTATCTGCACTTCTGGCCCCTTTGTGGCCTTCTTGAGGGCACCCCGCTCCAGTCTCTAGCCAGCACCTTTCTCTGGGCCGAGTCCTGCATTTCCCTTCTGCTAGGTGTGGGCCTTCGGCTGCAGAACCCTGCAATGTATGGTGATTCTGTCAGCAGGTCTGACTTCAGCTCAGCACCGGCAATCCGGGGTTAACCAGGGACCAGCCAGCGCTCATGAAAGCAAGTGCTGTTTATTCAGAACAAAAGCATAAAACAATAAACAGCTGCTAATGCAGGTCCGTTTTGCCCAGCAGTCCTTCATCTGCCACATGCAAACCCTGCTAGGCCTAGACTACTTCAGCTCCGTCCCGCAAGGCCTGGCCCCCTGGTCCCGGTTTTGTGTCCGTTCCTGGATCGAGTGGGAGTGACGTCTCTCCCTGTGTCGGGGATGGGGGGGGTCACTCTGTACACTAGAGCGTTCTTTATTTCCCTCGCCTCGTGAACCAGGTCAAACCAGTCTATGCAATGTCCCTGGGGTGACTTTCACAGCCGTGTTACCTGCAGGAGGGGTTTGTACTGGTCATTTTAGTTCCTATTTGAAACATCTTAGCTCCCCCATTGAGCCCGGCGCACGCTAGCCCGTAAGACACACAGAACATTTTCATAAAGCTGATGCAGGAGTATTTGAATAATCCATGTGTCCAGAGCAGCGTATCCATCCCCTGGAGCTGGGTTGGAGCCGGTGCCCCCAGAGGGGACAGCGTTGTAGCCCATTCCCGGTCCCCTGACACCAGGCAGCCCCTGAACTGGGGATTGCGTCTGGCAGCCCCCAGAGGGGAAGGCCCCGTGTCTCAGCTGGCTGCTCACCTGCTCGGTCGACATCTCAGAGCAGGGAGCTAACCGGATGTGGGGTTTGTATTAGGTGCAAAGCGTGTTCCCCCGAGCGCGCCCGTGGCCGCCGAGATGAGCACGGACCGCAGCAACGCTGCCCTCCTGACCTGGTGCCCCGGGCCTGATGTGCACAGGACCCCCCCCAGCAGCTACGTCCTGGAGCGGCAGGAGGCCAGCACGGCCGAGTGGGTGCAGTGCCTTACCACGGACCTGGCCAGCATGGTGGAGGTGCTCGGGGATAGCGTGCCCGCCGAGGCAGACTACTGCTTTCGCATCTGTGCCGTGAACAAGTACGGGAGGAGCAGGCCCGTGGAATTCCCTGGCTCTGTGCACCTTGGTACGTACCACAGCCTTCTGGGGCCCTTTCCCTTCCTGATCTCACTCCCTCCAGGCCCTGCTCCCGCCTGAGCCCTGCCAGACACGGCTGGGTGCAGGATCCTGGGAATTACAGCCTGCGTTGGCTTGTGTGGGGCACTGATTGGCTGAGTCCAGCGCCGGTACAGTGCCCTCTTCTTCCCAACACAGACTGGGACGTGGCCATGCCCAGGCCCACCAGCTGAAGGGCACTGCCCTGGGGAGCTGGCCCATGGCTGGAGGGCAGCCCCCTGGTCCCGCACCTGGCGTGCTAGCGGCCAGCTCAGAGGGGTGAGGGGACGTGGGTAACGTGGCCCATGGCCAGTGGCTGAAGGGCAGCCATATCCAAGAAAGGGGCCAGGGCTCTGCCCGAGCTGTTGCCCGTCTCCGGCTGAGGACCCTGCACTGTGCTCTAGTCCCTGTAGCCTGCGTGCGGAGAGCCCTGAAGGACGTGCAGGTGCAGGGGGGCCAGGATGCCCAGTTCTCCCTGGAGCTCTCGGCCTCCGTGGCGGGGAGCTGGTTCCTGAACGGGGCGAAGCTGGAGGAGGGAGAGGAAGGCCAGCGCTACTGCATAAAGCGCAGCGGGACCGAGCACTCCCTGCTGCTCCGTGGTGTGCGGCTGGCGGAGAGCGGGGCCGAGGTCAAGTTTGAGTCCAGTGGCGTGCGGGACTCCGCCACTCTGCAGGTGCAAGGTACGTGCTCTCCTGCTGCGGACCAGCCCCCAAACCGGGGGCGGGGGGCACTACACCCAGGCTCCAGACCACCCTCCTGGGATACCAACTGAGATCACTGAGCTGAGGGCATGAACCAGGCGGCATAAACACAAGAGTTCAACAAGGGCCTGCCCTCCCAGCAGCTCAGAGTCCTTGGCAAAGGCCAAATAATCCTCCCAGCCCGCGGGAGGTTGGGGAGGGATAGGCAGGGACCACTTCACCCAGCAATGTAATGCAGCCCCCTCTGGCCTGGGTGGTGGCAGCTGTTTTGGGGACATTTGGCTAGGACACAGGGATAGTGCCCCAACTCACAGGGAAAGGGTCCTGGGATTGTTAAATGCCACAAGGGGCAGGACTTTGGTTCTCTCTGAGTGCCAGAGCCAGCACCTTAACACGGGCTGCCTCTCGGGGCTTTTCCTCTCAGGCTGTTAGCATCCTGAATTTCCCTGCATTGCCCCACGCCCCCTTGGGTGCTAAACCTTCCTTCACTGCAGCCTCTTCAGCACCCAGAGGCCTCTGACAGAGCTCCTGTTGCTGCCCTGGCCTGGGGGAGCCCTCTCCCTCCCCACAGAGCCTGTGCTGCTTGCTCAGGCCCAGGGCGTCTCCCTGCGCTGAGCCCACAGGAGGGAACGCTGGTTCGCCCAGGGAGAGGCTGCGCTGGGCTCCAGTGTGAAGGTGCAGCCTGGTGAGACGTCGCGGAGAGAGCGAGCCCCATGTCCGCAGCAGGCTGTGCTCTGTGGTAGGGGTGGAGCATTGCATGCTGGGAGCTGCAATCTCCCGGGGCTGCTCCGCTGACGGATGCAGGGGAGAGAAGCTCCCGGCCATCTGGCAGCCTGGCCTGTGGTGGGATGGGCTGAGCTGGCCGGCGTGGGGTGCCTGGCGGCATACGCTGGCCTGCAGAGCCGGATCCTGGCCTGTTGGGACCCGGGGCACTGTCCTGGCTGCCCTGTGAGAGCGAGGACTCGCCTCCACTCTCTGCTCATTCAGGGTGACTCTCTCAGCCCCGCAGGTGCGCATCGCCCCGGTGCCCGAGGCCCAGCGCCGCCGGGAGCTCCTGGCAGGGCTGCCCCTGCTCCTGGAGTGCGAGGTCTCCACGCCCGACGCCCCTGTGCGCTGGCTCAAGGACGGGGAGGCTGTGCCCTCGGACGACGTCGTCGCCCTGCAGGCAGAGGGCTGCGCCAGGAGGCTGTTTATCCGCTCTGCCCGCCCCTCAGACTCCGGGACGTATACGTGTGACGCGGGCGAGGATGCGCTGAGCTTCACGGTGACCGTGACCGGTGAGCTGGGGGCTCGCCCACAGGAGCCCTGTGCCTCTGCCCCTGCTGCAGGTTCCTCGCAGACATGGGCTCAGGGCATTAGAGCTGGAGACGTCCCATCACATCCCAGCAGGCCCAGGGCAGATGTGTGGCCCTGAGACCCCTTTCTCCCCTCCTGCCCCATCCACCCCTCCCTCAGCCTCCCTTCCTCACTGCCTCTCCCCCAGAGACCTGCCTTCTCTGGCCTTCACAGGCTCCTCTGGCCACTGAAATCAAATCCTCTGGTGCTGTCCATGGCCCTGGGGGAGGCCTCTGGCCTGCTGGGTGGTAAGCAGAGGCCAAGTGACCGGCGGCTGCCCCCTGTGACGCTGTCCGGGGTGAATCCCACGGGGGACGATCTCCCAAGGCTGCTGGCTGCTGGCAGCACACGTGGGGTGCAGGCTATCAGAGCCTGGACTTACTGACAAGTTTTTTCCTGTCTCACCCAATGGTCAGCCCGTCCAGCACTGGGCCAGTCCACTGAGCTGGGATCTGCCTCTCCTGAGACACGTCTGCTGGGAGGGTACCTCCTCTGGATGGGGAAGATGTTGTGCCTTGTCTCCTCGTACACAGCCCCAGACCGTTTGTCTCTTTCCATAAGCCAGGCGTTTCACTGGCTCCAGCTTAGCCCGAGGGTCCCCCATTCAGAGGCTTTTCCTGCAGCTCTTTTGTCTTTGTAAATGCTCGGCCTGTATCTGGCCCAGCCTGTAAACCCAGGGCTGGGCTGGGACGAAAGTTGTCAGTTGTTTTCACTCTTGACCGAGTTAGCTGACCCCAGCCACCGCAGGTGACTTGCTGCATCTCCAGCAGGTCTGGAACATCGTCTGTTACATTTTACACATCTCTTCAAGTAGTGCCCGTGCAGTAATTGTGACACTGCTCGTGCTT